GAGAAATTAGCTGACATTTGTAGAGGTGCTTCCTTGTAGGTAATTAACTGCTTTTCTTTTTTTTCTTTGAGAGTGTAAGGGAGGGAGAGAGATACAGAGAGAGAAACATCAATATGAGAGAGAAATGCCTCCCGCACAGGCACTGACCAGAGCTGAGGATCAAACCTGCATCCAAGGTACATGCCCTTGATCGGAATTGAACCCAGGACCCTTCAGTCCATGGATGAATGCTCTGGTCACTGAGCCACACTGGCTAGGGCATACCTGCTTTTGTCTTGCTACTTTTAAAATTCACTGTCTTTAACCTGTGGCATTTTAATTATGATGTGTCTTGGTGTGGGCCTCTCTGGATTCATCTTGTTTGGGACTCTATGCTTCTTGGACTTGTATGTCTATTTCTTTTATCAGATAAGGGAAGTTTTCTGTCATTTTTTTCAAACAGGTTTTCAGTTTCTTGCTCCCCTTCTTCTCCTTCCAGCATTCCCTTGATGTGAATGTTGGCACATTTGAAGTTGTCCTAGAGGCTGCTCCTTACACTATCTTCATATTTTTGGATTATTTTTTTCTTTTCTGCTTGGGTGTTTTTTTCACCCTCATATTCCGAATTGCTTACTTTATTCTTGGCATTCTCTACTCTACTGTTGATTCCCTGTAAATTACTCTATTTCAGTTATTGTATGCTTCATTTCTGAAAGCTGCTTTTTTATGTTGTTGATGTTCTCACTAATTTCCTTGGAATTCTCACTAAGTTCCTGGAAGTTCTCATTAATTCCTTGAAGATCCTTTTAACCATTGTTTTGAACTCTGTATTGATAGTTTTCTTGCTTCCATTTCATTTAGTTCTTTTTCTGGAGATTTCTCCTGTTCTTTCACTTGTGATGTGTTTGTCTCTGCATTTTGGCTGCTTCCCTGTGCTTGCTTCTATTCATTAGGCAGAGCTGCTATGTCTTAGCAGCCTGGACTTAGTAGAGTGGCCTTGTTAGCAGGTGTCCTGTAGGGCCCTGTGGCTCAGCCTCCCTAGTCACCTGAGCAGGGCACTTCGGGTGCGCCCCTGTGTGAGCTGTGTGCACTTTCCTATTGTATTGAGCCTTGATTTATGTTGGCGATACTGTGAGGGATTGACCCTCAGGTCCATCGGTTGGGAAAATTAGCTTCGACTGCAGCTGAGGAGCTGCATTGCAGGAGCCAACCCTACAGGGCGGGACTCACTTCTGTGGGGCTTTGGTGCTCACTGAGTTCTCCCGTTGAGTGTGTCACTTGTGTAGGTGGTAAGGTTGTAAACCGGCATGGTAAAAGTTGATCACCAGGTACACTGGCTCTGGGCTTCTCAGACGTTTCAGAGTCAGCCTCTAACTGCCCTTCCTGGGGCCACCCAGCATGAGCTCCAAAGCAATCTGCAGATGGCTGCTACTTGTGTGGAGTTTGGAGGTGCCCAGGAGAGGCCACACTGAACCAGAGCAGGTGGCCTCTGCCAGGCCTAGGTTCACTTATTGAGAGGTACAGGGCATGCTGATGCCAGATGATGCTTATTTGAGAGATGTTAAGAAAGTCCAAAGCATGAGGCAAGAGAGGCCAGTTGTATGGAAAAGTCACTGGAAATGGCTTGAATGAGCCTATAAGTAGGGCGGGGCTGGGTCTCAGGGAATAGCCAGGAAGGGGGGAAAGTTGTGAGCCAGGTTAATGGAGATTCAGATATGGGGCATCCTGTCAACACTGTGGCCTGGAGACCTCAGCAAAGGAACACTGGCCTCTGCCAGCACTTCTCTCTGGAAGAAAGCTGCTCCTCCAGTTGTTGACCTGAATCCAGACAAGTTAGTTCCTCCCCAAATGTCTAAGTATCTGAGCACCCTGTGGCCCAGTCAAGTTGACACATAAAATTAACCATTACAGGCTCTGATGTGGGAGAAATCCAATTCACAGTATCAATCATAGCTCATCGTTTTGGAGATCACTCCTCAATTTGTAATGCGAGCAGATACCTCTAAGTCGAGTCGGGAACCATCTATTGCGCTCTCTGACGCCTTGTCCACCTTCCAGCAAATAGACTTCTGGTGCCCATTAAGGAGGCACTCTGGCCCGCAGGAAAACTGGTACTGCTGCTGTCCATGAATTTGAGACAAGAATCCTGGCCCAGATGGAATGTGTGCACCTTCAGTACCCACTGCCTGACATTTCCCCTGGCCTTCAAGTACGTTTTATCTCGCTCTGGAGTAGGCAAGTAATCCCTCTGATAGGGCGGTCTGCCAGTTGCTTCCATCACCTTCCCCGGCTCTTGGGTTGGCTTCCTGGCGAGGAAGCCGGCTCTAGTCACCAAAGTAGCCCCAATTGGTGTCGCTGTCCGTGGTGCTGACCAAACCCGAAAACTTATGCATTGGCGTGTTCACTGTCCTTGGTGCCAATGGTTCTTTTTTTTTATGTACTCAAGAAGATACTGCTGACTGAAAGAACGGATTTTTGAAATATGGACCAGAATTCAAGGATAAATATGAGATTCTTGGCTTCTGCTGAGGCACATTATAGGATTTAGGGGTCTGACCCACTCACTCTGAAGAATCAACAGTTTCTTGCTGCCTCATGCTCCCAGAACAGGTTCTGGGATTCCGCACAGTTCATGGAGCAGAGCTGAGAGAGCAACCAGGGCTGGAGCCACTACACCTTAGCAATCCATGGTTGGAAGTTTCCACTTTCTGACTTCCTATATCTAGTCTGTCAGAAAATCCTGTGGATTCTATCTTCTAAATATCCATTGCTTTTTTTTTTTTTTTCAGAGAGAAAGGAAGGGAGAGGCGGGGGAAGAGAGGGAGAAACGTTGACGTGAGAGAGATACAACACATTGAACCAGGTACATGCGCTTGACCAGGAATCAAACCTGTGACCCTTTGGTGCCCAGGCCAACACTCTAACCATTGAGCCACACTAGTGAGGACAATTCTATCTTCTAAATATCTCTTGTATTTTTCTACTCATCTCAGCTCCTCCACCCCTTCCATGACAACAGTGTTCATCACTACCCTTGCTCCGCTAGTCCTAACTACCATCACTGGTCATTGCTGGGGTTGTCCCTTTAGGATAAAATTTTAGCAGTTAACTAAGTCAAAGTTTAGGTTCATTGTTTAAGTGTTTTGTTCACGTATGTGTACCAATTTGGACTCCCACCAACCTTGTATAAGAGTGCCAGAACCGCCTTAGCCGGTTTGGCTCAGTGGATAGAACGTTGGCCTGCAGAGTGAAGGGTCCCAGGTTTGATTCTGGCCAAGAGCACATGCCTGGGGTGCAGGCTTGATCCCCAGTAGTGGGCATGTAGGAGGCCAGCTGATCAATGATTCTCTCTCATCATTGATGTGTCTATCTCTATACCTCTCCCTCTCTAAAATCAAAAAAAATATATTTTAAAAAGAGTGCCAGAACCATTCTCAATTGGTTAAAGTTCTACACCAGTGCACTGATTTAAAACAAAACAAAATGGCACTTTTGTTATGTATATGTAAACTATACCTCAATAAAAAGATTGACCAAAAGAGCTTGGCCAATGTCGCCCAGTGGTTGAGCATCGACCCATGAACCAGGAGATCACAGCTGGATTCCTGGTCAGGGCACATACATGCGTTGGAGCTGGATCCCCAGTGGGGGGCATGCAGGAGGCAGCTGATGGATGATTATCTCTCATCGATTTTTTAAAATCCTCTCCCAAGGATATTTTTCCATTGATTTTTAGAGAGAGTGAAAGGGAGGGGGAGAGACAAACATCAATTTGAGAGAGAGACATAATTGCCTGCCCCCTGCATGCATCCTGACTGGAACGGGGAATTGACCCGGGAACACTCCAGTCCGAGGGCCAACACTCTAGCCATTGAGCAACCAGCCAGGGCTCATTATTAATGCTGCTATATATCTCTCAAATCAATAAAACATATTTAAAAAAAAAAAGATTGACCAAAAGAAATGCATTTAGCCTGCTGGGGTGACCCAGTGGTTGCGCATTCACCTGTGAACCAGGTCACCGCTGGATTCTGGGTCGCGGGCTTGATCTGGACTTGATCCCCATTAGGGGGCGTTCAGGAGGCAGCTGATCAATGATTCTCTCTCATCATTGATGTTTCTATATCTCCCTCTTCCTCCCCCTTCCTCTCTGAAATCAATAAAAAAAATTTTTTTTAAAAGAAACCCTTTGAGGCAGGTTCTGCTTTACAGATGGGATGATGAGAGGCAGCGCAAGAAACTTGCTCAAGTTCAAACAAGAACCGCAGAGAGGGTTGGTGAGCTTCCCGAGACCACACAGCACGCGAGCGGCCCAGCCAGGACGAAGCCCAGGCTTCTCTCCCCCGGTCCTGCCCAGACGCCCGCTTCTGCAGCCCAGGAGAGGTGGGAGGGGTCCCTGAGGAAGCAGATGGGTGGGGGAGGGGAGAGAGCAGCCGGCA